TTCCCCAATTCTCCAATGAAAATCTTAAAAACAAAAAAATACCTTGTATGTTAAGAAATTAATTTTATTTCTCTCCTATTTTTTATTTCTAGAAAGACATTGAGCTAGAGTGAGGGGTATATTATTAGATGGGTATCCTGAGTACACTGCCCAGAATCTGCACTCATTCGTCCCATTAAGTATCCATGAGGAAGTCAAGCATGCTCTTTTCAAATTCCACATGTCAGTTATTAGCTACAATCTGAATCTCTAAATACACTAGTTTTTTCACCCATTTAAGGAGGAATAATGATAAGTATCTTATAATTATAATAATAATAGGCTGTGAAGGTTAGAAAAATGGGTGTATGGGAAAACACCTGGAGACTAGGCATAGCCCTCAGTACGTTAGAATAACGAGTGAAGGGAAGAAGTCAGAGATGAGTCCAATCCCTGTTGCCCACAGGTTAAAATCTATATAATATTTACCTGGACATTCAGTGCCCTGGAAAATCTGCTTCTTTCTACTCCAGCCTTTTCCATGACTGCCCCGCTGTAGTCAAACATTCCCCAGGACGTCTTCAATTTGCCCAACCTTCATGTCTGTCTGTGTCATTCCCACCACCCTCGGCTTCCATTTGCCAAAATCCTATCCCTCTCTCAAGGGCCTCAAATCCCACTGTCTCCAGGAATCTTCGGGAACTCACCTTGTCCTTTCTGAACCCTGGTCCTTGCTGTCTAAAGCACTCCTGGAGATGTAATCCACAAATTCTCATTGCCTCGATGGCAGCTCTGGCGAGGCAGAGGCCAGGGACACAGTACCCACTCTCTGCACCACAGAACATGGTGCCTTGCCAAGAGTAGGTGCAGAATAGACGCGTGATTGAATGAGCGCACAATTCCTCACCCTGCCCCTGTTGTGCTCTCGGACAAAACATTTTGCCTCTTTCAGTCTCAGTCGCCTCAGCTGTGAACAGAGGATAACAGCACGGCTGTACTCCCCAGGTGTGCTGTGAATAAACCAATGACTGAAAAGCAATTTGAGAATGTAAAGTGAAACGCTATATATAAATGTTATATAATCAAAATCATTTCCCTCTGTATTATGTTTTATTTGGCTTTATATCTTGGACTCCTTTGTGGGTTTTCAGAATTTCACAGATGCAATGCCATCCACATTAGCACCTAAATTCTCTGGGGTAATAAACAGTTGTGTGTATTATAGCTCACGGCTGCTTTTCCCTGGCATACTTACATGTGAATCTGTCATAATTTGGGCTATTTATAAGAACTAGTGATATAATTCATTTCTAAGGGATAATTCATTTTTTTCCTTCTTTGGCTGGTCAGTTATTGTTCCCATATTGCTGCCTCAAGGGAACTAACTTCCCTTAAACACAAAATCCAGATGACAAGCACAGTGTTTAGAAGCCCCAATCTTCTAGGAGCTTACAATCTGAGACCTGGAACGTGCTTCAGGGTTTCAAAGTACTATTTGTTTTCAATGGCCCTTTTTGTCCCCAATTCCGAATCCCTCATTTGCTTTATTGTAATATATGTGCTACTAAGTGCTCACTGCAGCCTCATTTCCTAGGTACCAGGAAAGGTTGGATTAGCCCTTCACCTATGAAAGCAAGGCCATGCTAGTTTAAAATAATATTTTCTTTCTTAATATGTTCAAAAAAGAGGTTTCCTATAGAAAAATAACTTTTCTTGGAATATCGTAAGTACCTATGAAAAGGGGCTTTTGACTTTAGTGCATAGCAATATTTTTGCTAGAATAGTCTTTACATGTAGATAGAAACTCTGAGGAGGAAGAGATGGCAGCAGTATCATAAGGGGGTTGTGAAAATCAAGTGAGTCATTAGACGACAAGGCTTAGAACAGTGCACAGCACATAGTAAGTGCTCAGTAACTACTAGGGGTTGTTATTTTCAGTAGAAGGCCCACCCTGTGGGCCCAACCCTGTGCTAGGAGTTACACAGAACATCTCGCTTGAGATTCATAACAAGCCAATGAGAAAAATCCGATCACCCTCCACTTCCCACCTCTTTTGGCTCAGAGAAGCTAAGCAGCTTGTCCAAGTTCTCAAAGTTAGAAATCAGTGGAGAGAAAACGACCCTCGGTCTATAGTGTTTCCAGAGCCCACATTCTTTGTCCTGTTTCTTAGAATGACTTCAGTGGGGAGTCCTTCTTTCCTTTCTGAGCCCATGCCCCTCCCTTTCCAAATGGCTAATTCCTCAGTGCTACTCACTTTACGTAGTTTTAAAATTAAGAGTATTTTTTTTTTAATCTCTTCTGGTGGACTTCTGAGCAATTTGTCTAGTTTTATGTCAGGCCGTTTTTCCAAGATCATTCTAGTCTTTCATCAGACTTATCCTCACATAGTGGGACCCATTTTTAAGAAGTTCAATGTACAATAGTTTTTCTTCTGGGGCATGTATGAGAAAATCCCATGTTTTGTGGAAGAGAGGCTTCCCTTCCCCACCCACTTCTGTTATCACATTTTTACTTAGTTGAACCTGCAGCAACGTCATTCTCATATGGGGCAGTTGCACTGTCATTCAAATGCAATGAGGTATCATTGTTTTGTGGGTGGTGTCACCCTGGTTGCAGATATTGTGCCAGAGTAATTAATGTGCTACAAAAATATCTCCTAGTTGTGGTGTACAACTAACTCCACAATTTAATTTGCCAAAACACCTATGTGATATTTTGTAGTCTATACAGCAATTAGTATTTCAAAGTGTCTTATCTCTTCTCAGTTATCTCTTCTATCTCTGTGACATTAATCCGAGGTATCACCGCAGTTTCATAGGTGGGAAACTAAGATATGGGACAGTTAACGGCTTGCCCAGTCTTGGAATGAACCCATAGCATAGCTGGTATTAGAATCTGCTACTTCTGACTGCATTTCTTTGCTAAGGTCTTTATTTCAACCTGTTCAAATTCTGAATAATTTTCAAAATGAATATATATTGAGAAAGGTGGTGAAAATGAGAGAGAAAAATACTATTCACTTAAGTAAAGCTTTCAAAGGATAAGGATTGTGAGGGCCCTTTCCCCTCATTTCCATTTATAGAATGAAAGGACAATAATCCAATGAGATTAAAATAAATAGAAATTGCAAGAGTAAAGAGGAATTGTTCAGGCCACACTATTTTCCCATTTCAACATCATTTTGTTCTCACTTTCAGCGGTCAGTGCTGCTATAAATGCCATGCATTTGCAGTGCTTTTTAACTGGTCATGGCGTTCCCAAGTTGATAAACACAGGGCACCAACTTGGACACCTTGGTTTTATGGCCAAGGAAGCAAGGGTAAAAAGAGGTTAAGTGACTGCCAGGGGCACTTATCAGTCACACCCTCTTGAAATCTAGGTTCCAAAATTTTGTTTCAGTGTCAGAAGTGGGTGACAGTGCATGAAGGCAAATTTGCTCACCATCTACAAAGGGACCAGCCCTGCTTCCATGGTCCCACCTCAATCTTCTCATTCCCAAGCCATTCCACAAAATTCCTCATCCCTTTGAGGGAAATTTTCTTTGGTGAAGTAGGTGGAACTAAAGGTGACTTCCACGTCCAGGTTTCCAAGGTTTTCTCTTTGTTTCATCCAGATAGGATTATAATGAGTTCTTAGATAAGTAACAGGTCTCATTTCCCCTCTAGACTACAGGGATGGCCCAAACTCAAGAGATCATCAGGGGGACTGGCAACCAAAAGAATAAGTCTGTGTCTGAGTGATCAACTCTTAAATGGAAATATGAACCTAGCCTAGATGTGCTTTCTTTCATGTCATCCATTTATAAGGGAAAATGAGAACAGTTACTTATCCAACAGCCCATGGATGGTTGTGTCTACATGAAACAGAAAACCTTGGCAATCAGGACATGAAAGACGTTTAGTTCTAACCTATTTCATGAAATTCCCTATTTCCATCATCTAACATAAATGCTGTACTACAAGTACAGCCAACAGTTGGTGTTTTGCACCTATGTCCAAGGTGATTTTTTTAAAAATAATTTTTTTTTAAACTTTATTGGGGAACAGTGTGTTTTTCCAGGACCCATCAGCTCCAAGTCAAGTAGTTGTTTCAATCTAGCTGTGGAGGGCGCATCTCAGTGGCCCATGTGGGGATCCAACCGGCAACCTTGGTGCTATGGGCACTGTGCTCTAACCAACGGAGCTAACTGGCCACCCGCCGCCCCTCCAACGTGATTTTTAAAATAATCATTGGCATAGGTGAAAAACCTTCACAAGGTGTTAATATGACAAACACTGTTGGCAAAATTTTTCTCTAGGTATATCCAGGAGTGGAGAAAAAAAAAATCCAAGAAAATATATTTTCCCCAATCCTGACCTGGGCAGAGACCTGGTATATATTCCATTCCTGTGGTCTACATCTAATTCCATGTCGATAAAGGCCATTCTCCCAGGCCACTCAGCAGTATGCAAAGCAACTGCTGGAACTGAAAGACCTCCCTCACCTGTACTAGTCATTTGGTTCACTGGATGAGGGTTTAAATTTGTGCAATTTCTGTATCACCAACCAATTTTTCAGGACATACTAAAAACTGTCCAGACTTTGATTTTCTTGCCCTTCTGACAACCTGCCTTATTTATGGACCTTTCCCATTGAGACAGGGAGCTGAGGAGACAGAATTTGAAACTCAATCCAGGCCAGAGCTCACCTCAGAGTCGCACCTTCCCTGATGGAGGGGCCATTTGCTCCTTTCCAGTCACATGCCTTTCACCTTCCTTCTTGGCAATGACCCTCAGCAGAACCTGCACATGAGAAGTGAGCTACGATGCACGTCTTTACGGGGGCCAGACAACCCTTGAAATAACACCTGTGAAGGTGTATACTCCCTTACACATGATATCCTGAAAAGTTACCTACAGTGAAAGACTAAAACCTTTAAGACTTCTGCGATCTTAAGGAGCAATGGTCACTGGTGAATGTGTCAGAGCACCAGGAAGCTTGATCCCTTTCCTGCCATGCACACCTTCATTTTATTAACATGGGTTGGGTGCCTACCTATGGAGGTGCAGTTCCAGGCACACGGAGGCCGCTACCCACCCACAGCTTACAGGTCAGGTCTTGCTAACATTCTAGGCCTCAGCCTGAAAAGCAACACCCCAACCCTTTGCTCTACGAGTCCTTACATCCTCAGCTCCGTAGGTGTGCTGCAGCCAAGATAAAAGCTTAAAAACTGGCTCAAGGGCAGCGACCACAAAGCCTTCTTCGGGGGCTTCTCAGCCGCAACTGACCCAGTGAGTTCTGGAACGCCCCCACGCCCGCCACCACTGAGCTGCGTCCAGAGACTTCCAAAGGGGAAGGGGGCGACGGCATGCACAGTGGGGCAGGTGTGGAGCTCTGCGGCCTTCCTGCCTTCGAACATGGAGAGTTCTGGCCCCGCTGTCGGACGCGAGGGACAGCGGCAGGCACCACCGCTGAAGACGCCACGCCGCAGGGCAGCCCGACCGGAAGGAGGGTCTCACGGGTTCCGGTGCCGTCGAGGGCCCGAGACTGACTTTCACCTCGGGGACGAAAGTGCCCGGGGCACCTTGGGTCGAGAAGGGAACCTAGGCGCCTGGTAAGGTTCCCACTGCCGGTGGTGTGGAGGGCAGCGGGGAGAAGGGGACGAGTCATGAACTTTCCCGGAGGTTTGCGGAGTCGGAATTTTGTTTTGGGGACAACCACCAGACCGCAATCACAACCTTTTCCAGGGGGCCCGGAACCCCCAGTTTCCGGGCCTAGGCCTTCACCGGTGGTTGGGTGATCCGGCCCGGGGTCGCCCTCTTTGGGTGTTGGTTTCCCCCAACTGCTGAGGCTCCAATGAGGCAGCCAAGTTCCGCGCCTCCTGCGGGCGCCAGGTGTGGGCGTTGCCTAGTCCGGTCTCGGCCCCCGATGCGGTTGGGCTTCTCGCTCCACAGCGCACAGACTCGCGGCGGCTCCGGGCCTCTGTCAGCCAGGGGCCTTCCGGGGCCGCCGCTTGCCTCCCGAGGTGCCGGGGTCCCGCAGCAGCCGCCCCTACAACGCGGGTTCGCAGCCCCGGTGCCTCACCACAGCCAACTCGACCGCAACCGACGCGTCTCCCAGCCAGCCCTCCGCTGCGGCGATTGGGCGGCGGTGGCGGGGCAGAGCCGGGCGCTTGGCACCGCCCGCCGCCGCTCCCGGCCCCGGCACCACCGCGATTGGCTGCAGGCTCCGCCGGTCACGGATTGGGGCGCCCCGCCCCGCGGGGCTGGCCCGAGGCCGGCCCCGCCTCTCCCGCGCCCGGCCCCGCCTCCCTCTGGAGCCCGGTCTCCTCGGCAGGGCGGTCTGCCTCATTCGCTGAGCAGGTCCTTGGATTGTCAGAGCGCTCCGGGCGGTTGCTGAGCCCGGGCGACTGCCGGGCTTGTGTGCCCTCCGAGGTGCCTGCCTGAGCCAATGTGCCCGGGTCCGCTAGGGCAAGAGCAGTCGCCGTTTCGGGGCAACTTGGGATTCAGGACCCGCAGCAGAAACGTCAATTTGAGATCGGGACTCGGCAAGGAGGGTGAGTGGCGGCGAGTAGGGCAGGCGGCTCCTCTCGGCGCTGTTTGGCGAGCGGAGGGACTGGAAGCGTCCTGGTGCGCGTCGGTCAGTCGGTACGAGGGTGGCCGCTGTGGGGAGGTCAGGGCTGGGAGGGATTTATTCCTTGCCAGAATCCCTAGTCCCGAACTTCTGGTTTCAGAGCGTAGCAACTCAGCCTGGGACGCGACTCTGCGTTCACACGAACTTGGTGTGTTGTAATTGCTTTCATTAGGTGGGGCCCAGGGACGCGTCCCCTGGCTCTCTGCGGCGGCGACACGCGCGCTGGGGGCGGCCTCTGTGCCCAGTAGTGTGGGGACAACAGATCCTAGATGGCTTGCGGACGGGCTCCTGATAAATTAACCCGCGCTGGAGGCGGTGCAGCACGGTAACCGGCGCCGGTGTCTGATCTGTAGCCCGAGCCTGCGATCTTCGTGTTCGGGTAGGTCTTCAGCGGTCAGAGAACTTAAGTGACAGCCAGGCTCTGTAGTGCTTTGCAATATTGAAAGGGACTGGCAGCACGGATGTTAAACTTTGTAAAGTCATTACTTTGTATTAGCAGTTGAATTCGCATCCTTCGTGAGGTGTTTAGACCTCCATCCACATCACCAGCAAGGTGTGTCCCAAGGACTTCGTTAGAACCAGTGGGGAGCTACTGTCTGTCCCAGTGCACTGAGCGCCCGAGAAGCCAAGACCACCAGGCTGGTGGGTTGGGGTTTGCTTGAGCACCTGTGTGTTTAAGTGATGAAGTTGTGACAGGAACTGATAATAAGATTTAAGGTTAAACCTGACACTTCATTTGTGACTCAGTCTGGGATAGATTTTTTTAATAATCTTAATGATAAGGGGTAAAAGCTAGTTTTTCTGAGGGCAGTTACATACATGTATTTTATATTATGTGTGGACGAAATAGAATTGAATACAATGTTTTCTTGTAATTCTAACTTGACGTGAATGAGAGCTTATTGAGAGTACTAGAGACTTGAGTACAGAATTTGGGAATATTTTGATCTTGGGAAAGATATAAAAACGTTGAGTTATATACTTATCCATGCATGTAGATGTGTGTGTGTGTGTGTGTGTACATATATGTGCTTGTGTAGGTGAATGAAATAGAAATATATGGAGGGGAAAACAGCCTTGAACTTGCCCTGGGTGGAGAAATGGACCCCCTGATCTGTGTGGAGTGTATGATGAGTGTGTGTAAGCATGTCTGGATCTGCCTCGTCTGTCTGGGTCAGTGTATGTCCGTGAACTTTATGAGCATTCAGTTCAATACTCCTCGGTGCAGATTCCGCGTTCCTGTTTTACAGCCCAGAAGCCGCCAGCCGGCCCATCTGTTAAAACATAACATGTACACTTCAGTGGGAGCACTAGGATGGAGCGTGGGTGGTGGGCAACCCTTAGTAGAAACAACAAGCTACAAACAAAGCCTGCTTCTCAAGTTCTATTTCCATTCAGTATTCAGCCTGAACTTGTGATTTGGGTGAGGGAGAAAAGGAGTGCTTGACTCTACATTTTGTAAAATAATTATAGCCACGGTTTGGGAAAGGGGAGTTTACAGGGGAAAAAAAAATCCCTCTAGAAATGTGGTACTTGTCACATCACTACGGAACACTGGTTTGCTGCTTTGCAGTAGCATGTATTTCAGAAACTGTTTTCGTGTGCTTCTTAAGAGAATGCATTACAACTGAATTGTTTTGCATCAAGAAAAATAAATCCTTAATAGAAGTAAACAGCTTTATTGCAGAGGCTATTTAATCTATTAGAGTGAAAACTGCCTTAGTAAGTCTAATGAAATATGTTTTTAGGAATTTATAACTTGGATATAAATTCACATTCAGCCTAATCACTAGTTTCAATGATTCACAATTTACAATTTAAAAAATAATATAAAACCTTTATCACAAAAATTCTGATGACTAAAATGTATGGGAGGAGTTTAACAGCTTAATAAGTTCCTGCAGGCAAAAGACTGATACTTAAAGAAACTATAAATTTCTCTAATAGCATAATTACTTTTGGTGACAAAATAAAGGCAATATTTTTGTGAAGCATAGTTGATATTTTTCCCAATAATTTTGTGCTCAATTATATTTTAATAATGGTGTTTATTATATATGGGCAGAATAAACTGCAATGGTTCTTAACTCATCACAAGAAATATTGTTTTCATTTTTATGGTACTTAAACATTTTGGGGAAAATGTGCAAATCCCTAATCTGTGAGTGTTTTTAAATTTCTGATGGACTACATAGACATAATTATAATTCTCCTGCCTTGATGTAGATCACCTGGGTTTCTCCTTAGAAATTCAGTTCATGGGCTGGACTCTAGTCTCTGGGATTTGAGTCTGGGGTGGGGCTTAGGAATCTGCATTTTTAACAAGGACTCCCAAGTGATTTTGATCCCAGGGATTCCTTCACCATATTTTGAGAAACACTTGAATGGTGTCTATCATTTAAAAGAACAATTATAGTCTGTAAGTTGATTTAACGAATAATTGTTCCGAAATTTCCAGATGGTATTTACTGGCCTTGTGAAATTTATAGGTAACGCTTTAACTCCCTGTACCAACAGTGGCACTTTTTGTCATATGTTCAGAAGTGTTTTTGGAGGCCTCAGCTATTCCTCTTCTAAGTTAGCTCAATTCTAAGGAAGCCTGTCTGGGGAAGCAAGGTAATTTAAGACCCTGCCCCAGTCTTACTCCCTCCATTTCCTACCCCAAGTCCAGTGGGTCCCTGGGGTGCTCTGGGGTGACTTTGCCGGTCCTAACTCACATTGTTGGGCATTTCTTCTGGGAAGGTAGAAGAAATACAGTCCTTCAGAACCAACTTTGACTCTTTAAAGCTGTTCCAGGCTTGGGGGCTAGAACCTCAGCGGGGCTAGTACAGACTTATCCAAGGTCAAGGATCTTCTTGGGAAACGTAGCTGGTCTGCCTCTTGGTCAGGAGAGTGTCCCAAGCCACCCACTCAGAGGCTCAGGGAGTCTTATTTTCAGAAAGTCATCTTGGAAGTATTTTGAGCTGTCCAATTAATGGGATACACAGATTTTCATGGCATCACAGAGAGATGGGTTGAGAATTGATTGCCACCTCTCCTTTTAAATCAGTGTGAATGTTGATTCATTAATTATTGCTAATTCTTTTTTTTTTTTTAGATTTTTATTGGGGAATTGGGGGGATGGGAACAGTGCTGGGGAATTGGGGAAAGGGGAACAGAAAAGTTGCTGTCACTTTGTTCTTCAGTCTAGTTGTGGAGGACGTTGCTTCACTGGCCCAAGTTGGCACCATCATTGCGCTCTTCCTGAGCGAGGCAGATCAGTCGCTGGCTTCTGGACGGCCGCTCACTGCGGCTGCTGGCCGCTCAAGCTGGCTGCTGGCTACATAAGGTAGCTCATGGCAACCCACTTTCACAGGGGCTGCAGCCTACGCCATCACCAGTGACTCATGACAGCCCAGCTCCAGATTGAGCTGTTGTTCAGCATCTTAGCTGTAGAGGGCAGTGTCACTGGCCCTCATATGTGGGATCAGAACCGGGGTCCTCTGGCGTCCCAAGCCAGCTCTTAACCATCGCGCCCCTCGGCCTGCCTCGCTAATTCGTTTTTTATGTATAGTTTGATACTGACATTTTATGTAGAGTTTGATACTATAGTTTGATATGGATGTATAGTTTGATTCTGCTTTCCCATTTCAGACTAACCTAATTCTCAATTTAAGACTCCTAGATGAGGTTTCAAAGAGAAAGGGGGTCTAGCAGAAGTTGTTGCCCTTCCCTCATTCTACCATCCAAGTACCTAATAAACCAAATGACTTCTCAGAGGTTAATTAGCAGTGCCCAGAATATTTACTTCCCTGATGACAAAAGGATGTGGGTAGGCTGGGACACTGAACTTGGATTGGTCCAGGCCACTGGATCATTATGGGGACCTTTACGGAGCAATTTCTGTTTTAACATTTTCGCTGTAACGTTCATCTATAGTCGAATGATATTTCCATGCTGCTGACTGTGGTGTTCAGCTTTACCCCATGAGCTCGGTGTTCC